CCAATGGACACAGACAGTAGTGTGGGAAAAGGTGAGAGGGGGGCAGGACAGGGGAGGAGGGGGTCAATGGGGGAAAAATGAGGAACATCTGTAATACATACAACAACAAAGATTTTTTTAAAAAAATGACAATGTACTGAATGGGACAACACATAAGCCAAAGATACATTCAATAAAAGGTTAATATCCAAAATTTATCAAGAATTCATACCAAAAATCCAATTAAAAATTGGACAGTGAGCCTTGGCCAAGTGGCTCAGTTGGTTGGAGCATTGTCCTGTGCACCAAAAAATTGCAGGTTTGATTCCGGCTCAGGGCACATACGGGAGGCAACTGATCAATGTTTCTCTTTCTGTCTCCTCTGTCTTAAAAAAAAATCAATAGCCCTGGCCGGTTTGACTCAGCGGTTAGAGCGTCGGCCTGCGGTCCTGAGAGACCTGGGTTCGGTTCCCGCTAAGGGCGCGTACCTCAGTTGCAGTTTGTCCCCAGCCCTGGTCGGTTGTGCGGGTGGCAGCCACTCGATGTGTCCCTTTCACATCGATGTTTCTCTCTCTCTCTCTGTTCCTCTCTCTCCCTCCCACTCTACCTGAACAAAAAATGGAAAAATGTCCTCAGGTGAGGGAAAAAAAAAAAAAATCAATAAAAACATATCCTTGCCCTGGCCGGTTTGGCTCAGCGGTTGGAGCGCCTGCCTGTGGTCCGGAGAGACCCGGGTTCGGTTCCCGCTAAGGGCATGTACTTCGGTTGCAGTTTGTCCCCGGCCCTGGTTGGTCGTGCGGGTGGCAGCCACTCGATGTGTCCCTTCACGTCGATGTTTCTCTCACTCTCTCTCTCTTCCTCTCTCTCCCTCCCACTCTATCTGTACAAAAAATAGAAAAATATCCTCGGGTGAGGATAAAAAATAAAAAATAAAAAAAAATAAAAAAAAAACATATCCTTGAGTGAGGATTAAAAATAAATAAAAATTGGGCAGAGGACCTGAATAGACACTTCTCCAAAGAGGACATATGGATGGCCAATAGACATATGAAAAGATGCTCAATGTCACTAATCATCGAAGAGATGTAAATTAAAAGCACAGTGAGATATCACCTTACACTTGTCAGAATAGCTATCATCAGCAAATCAACAAACAACAAGCGTCAAGGAGGAAGTGGGTAAAGGAAACCCTCATGAGCTGTTGGTGGGAATGCAGATTGATACAGCCATGATAGAAAATGGTATGGAGGATCATAAAAAAAAATTAAAAGTGGAACTGCTTTATAACCCAGCGATTCCACTTCTGGGTATATATCTAAAGAAACCCACAAACTAATTAGAAAGAATATATGCATCCCTATGTTCATTGCAATGTTATTTACAATAACCAAAATATAAAAGCAACCCAAGTGTCCATAAATAGACAAGTGGATAAAAAAGTGGTGGTACATATATACAATGGAATATTACTTGGCCATAAAAAAAGAGAATGTAATCTTACCATTTGCAACAGTATGGATGGACTTGATGGTATTACGCTAAAGTGAAATAAGTCAGTCAGAGAAAGACAAATACAATGTGATTTCACTTATATGTGGAATCTAAAGAACAAAATAAGTGAATGAACAATATTGGAACACTAATAGGTACAGAGAACATACTGATTGTTGCCATAGGGGAAGGGTATTGGGGATCTGGGTGGAAAAGATGAAGGGATTAAGAAATACAAATTGGGCCCTGGTCGGTTTGGCTCAGCGGTTAGAGCGTCGGCCTGCGGTCCAGAGAGACCCGGGTTCGGTTCCCGCTAAGGGCACGTACCTCGGTTGCAGTTTGTCCCCGGCCCTGGTTGGTCGTGCAGGTGGCAGCCACTGGATGTGTCCCTTTCACATCGATGTTTCTCTCTCTCTCTCTCTTCCTCTCTCTCCCTCCCACTCTACCTGAACAAAAAATGGAAAAATGTACTCGGGTGAGGATAAAAAAAGAAAGAAAGAAATACAAATCGGTAGTTACAAAATAGTCATAGAGATATAAAGTATAGCATAAGGAATATAGTAAAAAATATTGTAATAACTAAGTATGGGGGAACACTTTGTAAAGTATATGATTATCTAAGCACTATGCTGTATACCTGAAACTAATACAAATGGTATTGAATGTAAACTGTAACTGAAAAATAAAATTTTAAGTTCAGCCGGTGTGGCTCTGTGGTTGAGCGTCGACCTAAGAACCAAGAGGTCGCCGGTTCGATTTCCAGTCAGGGCACATGCCCAGGTTGTGAGCCCGATCCCCAGTGTGGGGCATGCAGGAGGTGGCCAACCAGTGTTTTCTCTCATCCATGTTTCTCTCTTTCCCTCTCACTTCCTCTCTCTCTAAACTCAATAAAGGAAAAAAAAATTAAAAAGGAAAAGAAAAATTTAAAAATTGTGATGTATCTAAAATTTTTAGCATAGCTTTCATGGGCTGCATGCTAAGTACAGCTGAGCTTGAAAAACACAGATCAGATTTGAACTGTGTAGTTCCACTTACATGTGGATTTTTCAATAAATATGGAGCAGCCCTCTATATCCCTGAGTTTTGCATCTGTGGAATTCAACCAACTGAGGATCAGAAACAGTATTTTCAGTCTGCGACTGGGAATCTGTGGCAGGCCAACTCTATTCATTATTCTATGCCATTTTATATAAGGGACTTGAGCATGCATGGATTTTGGTATCTGTGGTGGGGAGAGAGAGAGAGAGAGAGAGTATGTGTTGGGGGGGGGAGGGTCCTGGAACTTATCCCCTACAGATACCAAGGGACACTGTAGTTAAATTTTAATGGAGTCAAAAGTTATACTCAGAAATTCCACTGCCCAGGGGTCAGCACCCCTAACCTTCACGTTGTTCAAGAGTTAACTGTATTTATTCTTCATCATTAAGTGGGAGGGTGACAACTACCTTTAAGTGGTGGCACGTGATGAGGTAAAGCTTCCCACAGCTCAGGTTCGTGGAGAAAACAGGCCGAGACAAGGAGAAGGAATCAAAAGTGACCAATGCAGGAAGAGGTCACAGCTGAGCTATCAAGTAGGCTAAGTCACCTTGGTTCACAGGTAGCTTAGCGACTCTGCTTTGCATTATATCCAGAAAACCTGGCTCCCTGTCCCAGCTCTGCCGCTTGCCAGTGAGCCGGGGCAAGTCACCTCTCTTCTCCGGCTCCTCGCAGGTTAAACGGGACTGGTACCACCTGCCCTTCAGGTTCACCGGGGCTGTGCTGAGAGGGGCTGGAGGCACCTGGCTCCAGTGTGGCAGCTCTTCTGAACCAGTTGGGACAGCGCGGCCCGCACCGCAGAGGCAGGACCGAGAAACACGAACTTCCGTCATCTAATAGCATTTCGGCCAGGATCGGCTGGATGATGGGGAGGGTACAATTAACCCCAAAATTTCAGTGACTTAACTTTGAAGGTTTATTCCTTGTTCATGATTCTCCATCATGTTCAAGCTGGAGCTCCAGTCCCCACCATTGTCTTCCTCACACCAGGCCCTGGGCCAGCAGGGTGTCACTAGCAGGAACATGGCTCGTTGCCATGACAGGAAAAAAGGTAGGATGGTGCAGCATCCTGACTTTTCAAGCCTCCGCTCACATTTCATTGGTCAAAGCAAGTCACATGGTGGTACCTTCCGGTGGGTGGTCAATCACAACCCGCCATATGTCAGGAAGGAAAGAGAACAAGAATACTTGTGAACACCCCAACGACCACCGCAGTTGGGGGCAAAGGCTGTGGGAAGATTGATTTAATTATCGTTTTCCCAGACAAAGACTTGCCATGAATGACCTTGTTGAAATTGGAATGACACCAAGGATATGTGTTTTGTTTTTTTTTTGTCCTGATCAAAATAAATTATTAGCAAATGGTCTTGCAGAGTTGTCTCACTTCTTGCAAAATTTTCTGTTGCAATGCCCACTGCTAAGTTTAACGGCCCTAAGTTAATTTCTGCAGTTGTCTTTATTATAAAGAAGATTGCCTGCCTGTTCTTCACCTGTGGGTCTCTGCCTCTCTCCCAGGTAAAAGTACCTTCTTTACTCCCTTCCAATTCATATTTGAAACCCCAAATTTCTGACAACACAAAATCATGGAACACTCTGTCAGAAACCATGCATTTGAAATGGCCAGTGTTTGGATGTGCCTTTATCACTAAATGTTAGTTCTCTTTTCTTGGGACCCAGAAGTGCAGGAAAATATTTCTAATTTTTAATATGCAGGTGTTTTCCAAATTCTTCTTCTGTAGGGAGTCTTTCTAAAACTTGGAGGAGGGGGGTGTATCAGTTGCATAACAAATTACTTCAATACTTGGTGGTATGAAAGAACAATAAACAATTATATTTCTTTTTTATCCTCACCCGAGGACATTTTTCAATGTTTTGTTCAGATAGAGTGGGAGGGGGGGAGAGAGAGAGAGAGAGCGAAACATCGACATGAAAGAGACACATCGAGTGGCTGCCACCCGCATGACCAACCAGGGCTGGGGACAAACTGCAATCGAGGCACGTGCCCTTAGCGGGAACCGAACCCGGGTCTCTCTGGACCGCAGGCCGACGCTCTAACCGCTGAGCCAAACCGGCCAGGGCAACAGTTACTGTGAGTCAGAGATTCTGGAGCAGCTTAACTGGCAGTTTTGCCTTGAATTCTCTCAGGATGCTGCAGTCAAGATGGCAGCCAGGACCCTGACCAGGTGGCTCAGTTGATTGGAGGGTCCGTCCATATACCAAAAGGTCACAGGTTCGATTTCTGATCAGGGAACATACCCAGGTTGCAGGTCCATTCCCCAGTCAGGGCGCATGCAGGAGGCAACCAATCAGTGTTTCTCTCTCACAAAGATGTTTCTCTCTCTCTCTCTCCCTCTTCCTTCCTCTCTCTCTAAAAAAAATCAATTAGGCCTTGCAGACACCGTCCTGCCGGAACCGCTCGAGCCTACCCACGGTGAACCCCATCGCGTACTTCGACATCACCGTCGATGGCGATCCCTTGGGCCGCGTCACCTTCGAGCTGTTTGCGGACAAAGTTCCAAAGACGGCAGAAAACTTTCGTGCTCTGAGCACTGGGGAGAAAGGATTTGGTTATGAAGGTTCCTCCTTTCACAGAATTATTCCAGGATTTATGTGCCAGGGTGGTGACTTCACACGCCATGATGGCCCAGGCGGCAAGCCCATCTATGGGGAGAAATTTGATGATGAGAATTTCATCCTGAAGCACACGGGTCCTGGCATCTTGTCCATGGCAAATGCTGGGCCCAACACAAATGGATCCCAGGTTCTCATCTGCACTGCCAAGACTGAGTGGTTGGATGGCAAGCACGTGGTCCTCGGCCAGGTGAAAGACGGCACGGATGTTGTGACAGCCATGGAGAGCTTTGGGTCCAGGAATGGCAAGACCAGCAAGAAGATCACCATCGCTGACTGTGGACAACTCTCAGCGATGGTGACTTGTGTTTTATCTTAACTACCAGACCATTCCTTCTGTAGCTCAGGAGAGCCACCCCTTCGCGCCCATCTGCTTGGAATGTCTATAATATTCACGCTCTTGCCGCAGTTCGTTGAGTTCCATGTTTTCTTCACTCTTTGCAAGTCTAGCTGGATTGCAGAGTTAAGTTTATGAATATGAAATAAAAACTAAAAAATTGTCAAACAACAACAAAAAAAGCAATTAAAAAAAGGTGTCAGCTAGGGCTGCAGTTATCTGAAGACTGGAAAGTCTGCTTCCAAGAGCGTTCTGAACACTCACTTCCAAGGATCTTCCCAGACTCACTCATATGGCTGAATGTTGGTGCTGGTGTTGATAAGAGGCCTCAATTCCTCCCCACACAGGGTCCTTTCCCCTGAGTGATCCAAGAGAGGTGAAGACAGAAGCTGCAATGTTTTTCATAACTGAAACTCAAAGTCACACACTGTCACTTTTGGAGCACAGGAGTCTCCCCTTATCTGCAGGAGATACCTTTCAAGAACCCCGGTACATGACTAACCCACCACTAAACCACTGTTTCTAGTGGTTTGCATACTCTGGACATTCCATAAAAATAGAATTATACAAAATGTAGTCTTTGTTTGGCTTCTTTTTTTTATTTATTTTTTTATCCTCACCTGAGGACATTTTTGCATTTATCTTCAGATAGAATGGGAGGAAGAGGGAGAGAGAAACATCGATGTGAGAGAGACACATTGACTGGCTGCCACCCACACGACCCCAACCGGGGCCAGGGATAAATTACAACGAAGGTATGTGCCCTTAGCAGGACCGAACCTGGGACTCTCTGATCAGCTGGCTGACACTCTTACCACTGAGCAACCGACCAGAGATCTTTGGCTTCTTTCACTAAGCTGAACAAAGCCCTGTTTTCAAGACTCATCCATGGGGCAGCATATATCAGTGCTTCATTTCTTTCTGTTGCCAAGTGATACTTCATTGTATGGCTAGACCACATTTCTTTATCCATTCATTAGGTGATAGACATTTGGGTTGTTTGGGACTTTGGGGCATTATATATAATACAGCTAATGAACAGCCATGTACACGTTTTTGTATAGACACATATTTTCATTTCTCTTGCCTAGAAGTAGAGCTGCTGGGTCAGATGGTAACTCTGTTGGACCTTTTCAGGAAATGCCGGACTGCTACGCAAAGTGGTTACACTATTTCACGTTCCCACCAGCAGTGTGTAAGCATTTCAGTTTCTCCACATCCTTGTCCACACTTGTAATTCATCACATTCATCATAGCCAGCAAATGGGTACTGTGGTGTCTTCCTGTAATTTTGATTTGCATTTCCCTGATTGCTAAAGATGTTGAGCATCTTTCCACATGTTTATTGGTGATGGGTATGTCTTCTTTGGAGAAATGTCTACTCACGTTTTTTGCCCATTTTTAAAATTCGGTTGTGTGTCTTTTCATTATTAAATTATGAGTCCTTTACATATTTTAGATATGTCTCCTATTCAATATATGGTTTGCAAAAATTTTCTCCCATTCAATGGATTGTCTTTTCACTTTCTTGATGTCCTTTGAAGCACAAAGTTGTGATTTTGATGATGTTCAATTCATCTATTTTTTCTTTTGTTGTTTATCCTTTTGGAGTTATAGCTTAGTGCTCTTTTAAAGTTATTTTTCTCCTAGTTTCCTGTTCAGGTTCAGAAAAATAAGTCTGATTTCCCTTTCCTGCCCCAAATTACTTAGAACAGCAGACGCTAATATTTACTAAGCACCGAGCATGTGCCAGACTCTTGCTGAGCATTCGGGGTCAGTAGGGACCAACCCAGCCAATCTGACTCAGGAGCCCATATTCTCAACCACCTTCCTGTCCTACTGAACACGTTTTCTTGACATTTGTTTCACTTCTGTAAGAGGAAAATGGTGTATCTGCTGTTGGTGTTGGACAGGTTACTCTGCCTGTGTGCCTTGTTCCTTCCCTTCCCTGAGGTGAGTCCCCTGCCCCACCCTTTCTAGTCCTGCCAGAATCTCCAAACTGTCCAACACACACACATACTCGTCCAAAAAGGCAAAACAACACCCTCATTCAAGACACAGAATACTTAAGGCCCTGATGCTTCAACTGCAGTCGCTCCCTGACCCTTGCCCCGCCCCAACTATGCAGTCTCCTCTTTGGTTGTGATAGTCAGGGTCTGACATTCAGGGGCAGCTTTGACTCCTTGTAGGTGAACTCCATCTGGCTTACCTTGGGACCCACGTTAAATGCCCCCAAGTGTAAAAGAGTTGGTTGTCAGTTCAATCGAGTACCATCACGTGGAGCAGCAGATGACAGAAACCAAGTCAGAGGACCTTCTCATTCTTCCGTTCACTTTGACGATACTGATGTTGAGACTTCACCTTTTTTTTTCGTCAAATAAGTGAGGTCAGAGTGATCTAACAGAAGCCCAAGAACTTCTTGCCCCCCACTTTGCCTCCTTTCCCACTGTACCCAATTGAAACTGTTTCAGAAATGTCTCTCAGACTGGCCTCCCTCTCCCAGCCCATCCTTCTTGCCACTGTATCTGTTCAGATCCTTATCATCTCCCAGGGGAACTAACTGGACTCATCCGCAGTCTTTCCTTCAGTGGAATTGAATTGGAATGAACGACCTCTTCACAGTTGTCTTCCCAGTAGATTATGAGATCCTTAAGGTCAGAGACCAAGAAGAGTTCATTTCCCCAGAACTTAGCATAGAGTCTGCCATCTAAAGGCATTTCATCAGCATCTGTGGAAGGAACACTCAGAGCCACAGTGCTCCCAGCACCTACAAATCCTTTAAAAAAGGCTTTGTAATAATATCACAGGTCACTTGGCCTGGGTGTTTCAGGAGCCCCTCCTGTCCTGCTGTGTGCATGACCTTGGCCAGACTCAAGGCGACATCCAGGTAAAGTCGGCATCTTGTCTCTCGGGACTGGGAGTCGTCTGCTGGTCTGTACATCCCTCTTTATCTGAGTTATGGGGGAGAGTCTCAGACCATTTCCAGCAGGGCCCACCAGTTGATCAGGAAGATTGTTGACTTCCTCAAACACATCCACACCCATCTTCCTGAGCCCCAGTTCCCCCTGAACACGGATGGAGTAACCAAAAAGGTTAGGTAAGTATTGCAAAAACATTCCTACTAGGAGGACCAGTAGTTATAAGCCTCGCTTAGGAACCTGCTCCTGAGGACCACATGGGGAAAGGTGGAGGTGAGCAGACAGAACAGACTCACAGTTCAGGGCTTCAGAAGCTATCTCACATGAATGTGACCTTCCCCTTACAACCCCCTAAACCCTCTAGGAATTGTCCCCATCCTTTGCCACTGCACACTGCCCTTTTCTGCCCCATCCCCACAAGAGGATGTTGCCCTACGTTGTTACCATCTCTTCTTGTGAAGTGCAAAAGACATCTGTGGTTGCTAGGAGTTTGGGGAAGAGAGGGAGGGGTGAATAAGTAGAACATAGTGGATTTCTAGGGCAGTTAAACTAGCTTGTGTGATACTGTAATGATGGGTCCAAATTATTATAATATGTCAAAACCTATAGAATGTATGACACCAAGAGTGTATGAACCCTTAATGCAAACTTTGGACTCTGGGTGATGATGGGTCTGCGTTAGGTTCATTGATTGTAACAAATATACCACTGAAGTGTGGGATGTCCTTTGTGGGGAAAATACTGTGCATATGTCGGGGTGGAGGGTATATGGGGACTGTCTGCACTGTTCGCTCAACTTTGCTGTGAACCTAAGTGTAAAAGAAAGGAAACGAGCTCTCAAGCCATGAAAAGCTATGAAGAAATTTCAAGTGCATAGTACTAAGTGAAAGAAGCCAATCTGAAGAAGCTGGCATCCCCATACTGTGACTATCGGGGCTTAGTGGGGAGAAGGGAGGAGGGTAAGCAGTTGCAGTACAGGGCACTGCGGGGCAGTGAAACCATTCTGTGTGATACTGCAATCCTGCACGTATGTCATCATGTAGTTTCCAAACCCATAGAAATGTATAACACAAGAGTGAATCCATGTAAACAATGGCATTCGGTTAATAATGTATCAGTATTGGCTAGTCAATTGTAACAAATGTACCACTCTAATGCAAGATGTTAATAATAGGGGAAATTGGGGGTGTGGGGACAGAAATGAGGGGACATCTGGGAACTCTTTCCACTCAATTTTTCTGTAAAACTAAAACCTTTCCTCCAAAAAAGTCTATTAGAAATAGTAAAAAGAAAAACATGTCTAAACATATTAGCTGTTACTATTAGTACAATTACTATTTTTCAAACTCTTACCCAGTTTCTCCATACAGATTCACACACTCTGTCTCCTAAGATTCCTCTATGCTGCTTCAAATACCAGAAATGCCTTGAAGTGTGGTAGCTTTATCCTCCCTGGCTTCTTAAAACTAGGTTTAACTATGCAATTTCTGGACTGTAAGATGGAGTGATATGTGTTAATTTCCAGAGAGGATTTTAAAAGCCATTTAGCAGCTTGCCATGTTTCCTGCTACAGGGCCTTAGACCACATATGTGGAAATAAAATCACATCGGCTCGGGCCCCCAAGTGGCTGTGAAGTACACAGTTGCTCTGCCCAGCTGTATTGACATGTTGTTTGCATATCAATTTGTGTGGACCCACGAAAATTTTGAGGGGTGAGTGTGTGTGTGTGTGTGTGTGTGTGTGCTTCATAACCTAGCCTATTCGGATTTACATTCTTATCAAGTCCAGCTAGTTTTCATAATTCCATTCAAATGACTTGTTCTCCACAATCTTTCTTTGATTCTTGAAGCCAAAAGCAATCTTCCTAGTTTCTCAGTTCCCACAGTAGCTTATCAGTACCTTCTAATGGCATTCAGCACTTTAAATCTTACAGAAATTCTTTAAATCTTGTATTATAATTATATGCATACATGCCTTATCTATCCTATTAGAATATAAGTTTTTTTAAGGTCTAGATCATGTTTGGTTATCTTAGAATATCACAAGCACTTAGTAAAGCATACGGCGTACCTTTTCAATACTATACAGATTTTTATTTAATGAAATGAGGTTTCTATTATAAGTGTAGGAACCTCAAGGTAGGTCCATCAAGAGGCAGAACATGCTTGTATAAATGAAAAAGTTACTGTTCTCAAATTTATATACAAAAACATACAAAATAGACATTTTCTTTCAGATTAGTTTTATACTCTTAGACAAACTTGGTGTTCTTCATTCTGTAGGAGACAGTTTCTTTTTAGTTTAAAACAATATCTCCATGCTAAAGAAATATATTATAATGAATAGGTACTCTTTTTTTTTTTTAATATGTTTTTATTGATTTTTTTTAGAGAGAGAGGAAGGGAGAAAGAGATAGAAACATGGATGTGAGAGACAAACATCAATCAGCTGCCTCTTGCACGCCCCCTACTGGGGATCGAGCCCACAACCTGGGCACGTGCCCTTGCCAGGAATTGAACCAGGACCTCTCAGTCCACGGGATGATGCCAATCCACTGAGCCACACCAGCTAGGCTGAACAGGTACTCTTAAAAGTTAATGGAAATGTTGAGTAAACTAGAGAGGAACAGAAACTATTCTAAGAAAAAATATTATTTTAAAG